TAGGAATTCATCCATTTCTTCTAGGTTATTGAATTTGTGGGCATATAGTTTTTCATAGTATTCTCATAATCCTCTGTATTTCTGCAGTATTTGTTGTAATTTCTCCTGTTTCATTTCTAATTTTACTTATTTGAGACTTCTCTCTCTTTTTCTTGTTGAGTTTGGCTAAGGATTTGTCAATTTTGTTTCTCTTTTCAAAGAACTAGCTCTTAGTTTCATTAATCCTTTCTACTATTTTTTTTTAGTCTCTATTTCATTTATTTCTGCTCTGTTTTTTATTATTTCCCTCTTTCTTCTGACTTTGGGCTTTGTCTGTCCTTCTTTTTCTAGCTCTGTTAGGTACGTTTTAAGATTACTTATTTGAGATTTTTCTTGCTTGTTGAGGTGGGCCTGTATTGCTGTGAATTTCCCTTTTATGACTGCTTTTGCTACATCCCATAAGAGTTGGTATATTATATTTTCATTTTCATTTGTCTCCATGTATTTTTTAATTTCTTCTTTGATTTCTTGAATGATCCAATGGTTGTTCAATAGCATGTTGTTTAGTCTCCACATATTTCTGACTTTCCCAATTTTGTACTTATGGTTGATTTCTAGCTTCATAGCATTGTGGTCAGAAAAGATGGTTGGGATGATTTCAATCTTCTTAAATTTATTGAGGCTTGCCTTGGTTCCCAACATATGGTCTATCTTTGAGAATGATCCATTTGCACTTGAGAAGAATGTATATTCTGCTGTTTTCAGGTGGAATGTTCTATATATATCTATTAAGTCTATCTTATCAATTGTTTCATTTAAATCTACTGTTTCCTTGTTGACATTCTGTCTGGATGATCTGTCCATTGATGTATGTGGTGTTGATGTCCCCTACTATTATTGTGTTGCTGTTAATTTCTTCCTTTAGGTCTGTTAATAATTGCTTTATGTACTTTGGTACTCTTGTCTTAGGTGCAAATATATTAATAAGTATTATGTCCTCTTGGTGGAATGGACCTTTTGTCATTACATACTGCCCCATTGTCTCTCATTGTCTTTTTAACTTGAAGTCTGTTTCGTTTGAAAAAAGTACGGGAACACCTGCTTTCTTTTGTTGGCCGTTAGCTTGGAGTATTTTCTTCCATCCCTTCCCTCTAAGCCTGTGTTTGTGTTTGGAGCTGAGATGTGCTTCCTGGAGGCAGCATATTGTTGGGTCTTGTCTTTTAATCCATCCATCTACTCTGCGTCTTTTGGTTGGAGAATTCACACCGTTTACATTTAAAGAGATTTTTGTTATATGAGGGCTTAATGCTGCCATTTTACCTTTTTTTTTTTTTGGTTGTTCTATGTTTCCACTCTTCTCTTCCTTTGTATTTCTGATTGTCATTTCATTTTGTTGGTTTTCTGAGACGGATTTCTCAGTTTTCTCTCTCTTTGTGAATTGTGGCTCTGCTCTGATTTTTTGTTTAGTGATTACCATGAGGATTGTAGGAAAGATATTGGAGATGAGATAGTCCAGTTTCTTATAACCTCTTAGCTCCATTAATCTAGGCAGGTTCCTTCCTTTTCATCTCCTCTTCTGAGTAACTGCCATTACAAATTTTATGTTTTGAATTTTGTACGTTTGTGGCTGAGTTGAAGTGCTTATCATTGTGTTTGATGCTTTCTTTCCCTTCATCTTATAAGTTGTAATTGAGCCTTTGAATCCCTGCTCTGCTAGAGAGCTGCAGATTTCTGATCATGTCAGTTTATTTGTCTCCTTGCTCAGAGCTTTGTAGACCTTTGACTTTTTGTTGCTGGTGTGAGGGCTTCTTTATTTCTTGTAGGGGAGGTCTAGTGGCAATGAACTCCCTCAGCTTTTGCTTACCTGGGAAAGCTTTCATTTCTCCATCGTATCTGAAGGAAAGTTTTGCTGGATAGAGTATTCTTGGCTGAAAGTGTTTGTCTTTCAGTATTTTGAATATATCCTTCCATTCTCTCCTAGCCTGTAGGGTTTCTGCTGAGAAATCCACTGAAAGCCTGATAGGGTTTTCTTTGCAGGTTATTTCCTTCTGTCTTGCTGCTCCTAACATTTTTTCTTTATCACAAACTTTTGCCATTTTTACAATTATGTGCCTTCAAGAAGGTATTTTAGTGCTGATGAAGTTGGGCGTTTGATTAGCTTCATTTATCTGTAAATCTGAAACCACCCCACCCTTGGTAAGTTCTCAGCAATTATTTCTTTGAACAAGCTCTCTGCTCCTTTCTCCCCTGCTTCTCCCTCTGGAATACCTATAATCCTCATGTCACTTTCTATAATTGAGTTGGATATTTCTCAAAGAATTCCTTTTTTTTTTTTTTACCAATCTTAGTTCTGTCTCCCCCCCACCTGTAGAATTGCCACATTTTTATCTTCAAGGAGACTAATTCTTTCTTCCATAAGATCAGTTGTATTTATTAATGATTCTTGATTATTTGTTATTACATCAATTATGTTTTTCATATCCAGAATTTCTGCTTGATTTTAGTTTTATAGTCTTATATAGTTTATATAGTTTTATAGTTTTATTGACTCTTTTGTTGCAGAGGTTCATTTTATTGCTGAGCTCCTTGAATTGTCTCTTTGTGTTTTCTTGTAAGTCATTGAGTTTCCTTATGATGGCTATTTTTGAATTCTCTGTCATTTAGGTTGTATATTTCTGTGCCTTCAGTGTCAGTTTCTAGAGAATTGTCATTTTCCTTCTGCTCTGAATTGTCACTGCAGTTTCTCATGGTGTTTGATGAACTAATCTTTTGTTTGGGCATTTGTCATCTTCTTGGGGCACAGATTCCCCCTGTTACTGCTGGGGGGAGGGGAGCAGGAGCAGTGTTCCTGGCCCCACCTTGTCTGCTGGAAGCTGTGAGGGTATTATGGGTGCTTGCCTGGGGTGTGTTCAGGCACTTATGTGGACTGTCCTTGTCAGTCGGGGCTTCCTCGCTGGGCTAGGTTCACTCTGGCGCTGCAGGGGCCCTCCCTGCCCAAAAATGATCACCAGTGGGCTCAAACCTACCATGCCTATTCCCTCAACAGCCTGGGAACTGCCTCTTTTTGGGCTCAGCAGCACTGTGAGCTCTTGTGAGTTTTCCTGGGAAGATTTTGCCCCAGAATGTAGATTTGCTGACATCTCTGTTTATGGTCCACAGTCCATGGTCCACAGGCCTGCTGTGCTTGGAGGGGTGCGGTGGGCTCCCCCTCTCTGCTGGGAGATTGACCATGAGCACGGGCTAAGGGTTACTGCTGCCTCCTCTTACAGTCGCCCTGGTGCATGTTCCCACTTTCTGGGAACATGTACCAGGTGGGAAAGCATTCATATGTGTGCACAGGCCCACCAGTAGAGAGCAGGGTGTGCTCACCTATCTCCACCACTTCCCAGGGGGCCAGTCCATCCACCCTCAGATGTATAAGCTGCGTGTGTCTTTCAGGAGTCCTGTTGTGCTGTGTGGGCCTCCTCTGTTGGTCAGGGCATGCCAATTTAGTTGTAGTTCAAAAGGGAGAGAGACGAAGGGGACAGCTCACTCTGCCATGTTGTTTGGAAGTCCAATGTTTACTTTCTTCACTGCTGTATCTTCAGAGCCCAACCACATAGCCTATCACAGACAAGATACTCAGTATTTGTTGAAGGATGAATGGATGTCATTACATTGTCCTTCTATTTCCCTAAGGACCCATGTATTTTTTATTCTCTGTCTTGCTCAGCTGCTGGCTCCGCTCAGAAAGTGGATTTATATGGGGCTTCCTTGGACCAGTCTGTGCCATCTTCTCTGTGAGTGATGACTTCAGAGCATCCTTCATGCTCAGCTGAGGGTCATTACAAGGGCAGAATTATAAAGGGGTGAATGAGCCGGAATGTCCTTGGGTTGTCATGGTTTCAGTTTGGTTTTCTAAGACTGCCCCCAAAACTACAAACTCTAACACTGTTAGGAAATATGAAAACTATGTGGAATTGATGTTGGATGGGCTAGGATACAGAAAATGATTGGAATTTAATCAATAATCCTTCTGCGGTTTCCTGAAGGTCAACCTAGCTTTCTTTCTGATGACCCTCTGGATTTTGAAAAGCAGGCTCTCTCCCCTTAACAGTGATGTGTCCACCCTCCAGAACACAAGGTAAGCCGGAGGAGCAGGTGACAGCCCACAGCCGCATGTGGTCCCAAGGGCGAAGCCATGGTCCTCAGCAGCCCCTGCTGCCGCTTCTCAGGGTCTTCTGAGAACCCAGAGTAATCAGACCCAGCTATGCTTCTGTAGCAGCCAGCTCAGACTCAGCGGTGTGTGGCTGACACCACAGCCAAAACTTTCCATCCATCTCTAATCCCAGATTGTTCCTCCCTCAGCAGCAGGAAGAATTGACATTGGTTGATAAGCATTCTTTGGACTTTTATCAGCAGTCCCATGACAAAAGTGCAAAGAAGATTTATGTTCCCATGAAGCACTCAGAAAACTCTGTGTCTGCTCCCACACCAGCCTACACTTTCATACAACACCTTCGGCTAAGGTTACTTCTCACCCCTTGTCCATTTCCTTCTCTGGAAAAATCCTAGTCAACATCAAATCTAGGAGGTTGGGCAGCCCTTTGCTCCAGGAACCCTTGTGCAAATTTAACACTCTTTCTTCTATATTCCTATCATCATCTTTTCCAAATGAAAATAGAATCTTGCCTTTGTTATTTTTAATGCCCAGACCCCAGCACAAAGCCCGATGCACAGTACCTCCTCAGTAGTGTTTGCTGAGTGAAAATAGGGATCCCCGTGGAGCGTCATAAAATTTTTGAACCTTACATTTGAAGTATCACTATCCTCCTCGATTTGAATCAAACTGCCCTCCTGTACCTGAGTGCCGTTTCCATTGTGGGGAATCATTGATGGTAAAGATCAAAGATGATCACAGCGCAGCCTGAGAACTCATCACCAGCAGAGGAAGGCAGGAGCATCCATTGGGTGGAGATGAAAATACTCTTGGTTTTGTTGCTCTGGGTGCCTTAGGAGTCTCCTTTCTCCTCCTCCACAAGATGCTGACTTTTAAAGCTACAGCTCAGCTCTTCATCTTGGGATGCACGTGGTGTCTGGGAATCCTGCAGGTTCGTCCAGCTGCCCACGTCATGGCCCACCTCTTCACCATCATCAACAGCCTGCAGGGCGTCTTCATCTTCCTGGTGTACTGCCTCCTCAGCCAGCAGGTACCACTATACAGCTGCCGCCCAGGACTCTTCCCATCCTCACCCCTCTCAGTGAGCTGATCCAGAGTATGCTTTTCCTCTGCAGGTTCGGAAACAATATGGGAAATGGTTCAAAAGGGTCAGGAAACCCACAGCTGATTCTGAGACTTTCACGCTTTCCAGCAGGGCTGTGCCTGATGCCTCCTAACCCTTCATGGTATGGTCATGCGTTGCTCCCAGAATATTTCACCAACTGATCTGCTCGAGCAGCACGTGCCTATCACACTGGACAACCTGGGGACACAGCAGGTGATGCTGTAGGCTGGCTCTGGCTCACCTTTGGCTCACTCCTGGACTCGTTAACCATTAGCCATGGTCTCATGTCAAAAGTTTATTTAAAAAACATATTTTGCTCTTACTGCTTAGGGAACAGTGTTCGCTTGACTTTTTACATTTTTTTGTTTTAATTAAATTCATAATAGTTTACGTCAATGTGACATTTCAGTTGTATATTATTCCTTGTCTGTCACCACATAAGTGCCCCCCTTCACCCCCTGCACCTACCCCCCGACCCTCCTTCCCCTGGTAACCACTAAACTGTTTTCTTTGTCAATGTGTTTGTTTATATTCCACATATGGCTGTTATCATCTGGTGTTTGTCTTTCTTAGCCTGGATTATTTCGCTTAGCATAATACCCTCCAGGTCCATCCATGTTGTTGCATATGGGACCATTTTGTGTTTTTTTTTACAGCTGAGTAGTATTCCATTGTGTATATATACCATATCTACTTTATTCAATCATCAGTTGATGGGCACTTAGGTTGCTTCCACGTCTTGGCTATTGTAAATAATGCTGCAATGAACAATGAACATTGGGGTGCATGGGACTTTTGGAATTGCTGACTTCAAGCTCTTTGGATAGATACCCAGTAGTGGGATAGCTGGGTTGTATGGTAGTTCTATTTTTAATTTTTTGAGGCCTCTCCATACTGTTTTCCATAGTGGCTGCACCAGTTTGCATTCCCACCAGCAGTGTAGGAGGGATCCTTTTTCTCCACAACCTCTCCAACATTTGTTACTATTTGTTTTGGTTATTTTTGTCATTCTAATGGGTGTAAGGTGATATCTTAGTATAGTTTTGATTTGCATTTCCCTGATGATCAGCGATGATGAACATCTTTTCATGTGCCTATTGGCCATCCGTATATCGTCTTTGGACAAATGTCTGTTCATGTCTCCTGCCCATTTTTTGATCAGGTTGTTTGATTTTTTGTTGTTGAGTTGTGTGAGTTCTTTATATATTATGGAGATTAACCCTTTGTCAGATGTATGACTTGCAAATATTTTTTCCCAGTTAGTGGGCTGCTTTTTTGTTTCAATCCTGTTTTCATTTGCCTTGAAGATGCTCTTTAGTCTGATGAAGTCCCATTTGTTTATTCTTTCTATTGCTTCCCTTGTCTGAGAAGACATGGTGTCCAAAAAGATCCTTTTAATACTGATGTCAAAGAGTGTACTGCCTGTATTTTCTTCTAGAAGCCTTCTGGTTTCAGGTCTTAGCTTTAGGTCTTTGATTCATTTTGAGTTTATTTTGGTGAATGGTGAAAATGGTCAATTTTCATTCTTTTACATGTGGCTTTCCAGTTTTCCCAGCACCGTTTGTTGAAAAGACTTTCTTTTCTCCCTTGTATTCCCTCAGCTCCTTTGTTGAAGAATAGCTGTCCATAGACGTGTGGTTTTATTTCTGGGCTTTCAATTCTGTTCCATTGATCTGTGCACCTGTTTTTGTACCAGTACCATGCTGTTTTGATTACAGTAGCTTTGTAGTATGTTTTGAAGTCAGGGATTGTGATGTCTCCAGCTGTGTTCTTTTTTCTCAGGATTACTTTAGCAATTCGGGGTCTTTTGTTGCCCCATATGAATTTTAGGATTCTTTGTTCTATTTCTGTAAAGAATGTCATTGGGATTCTGATTGGGATGGTGTTGAATCTGTAGATTGCTTTAGGTAGTATGGACATTCTAACTATGTTTATTATTCCAATCCAAGTACAAGGAATGTCTTTTCATCTTTTTATGTCGTCATCCATTTCTTTCAGAAAAGACTTGTAGTTTTCGTTGTATAGGTCTTTCACTTCCTTAGTTAAATTCTTCTTTTATTCGTTTTGTTGCGATTGTGAATGGTATTGTGTTCTTGAGTTCTTTTTCTGTTAGTTCGTTATTAAAGTATAGAAATGCTACTGATTCATGTAAATTGATCTTATACCCTGCAACTTTGCTGTAGTTGTTTATTATTTCTAAAAGTTTTCCAATGGATTCTTTGGGGTTTTCTATATATAAGACCACGTTCTCTGCAAACAGCGAGAGTTTCACTTCTTCCCTCCCTATTTGGATTCCTTTTATTCCTTTCTCTTGCCTAATTGCTCTGGCCAGGACCTCCAGTACTATGTTAAATAAGAGTGGTGATAGAGGGCACCCTTGTCTTGTTCCTGTCCTCAGAGGGATGGCTTTCAGCTTTTGTCCATTGAGTATGATGTTGGCTGTGGGTCTATCATATATGGCCTTTATTATGTTGAGGTAATTCCCTTCTATCCCCATTTTGTTAAGAGTTTTTATCATAAATGGCTGTCGGATCTTGTCAAATGCTTTCTCTGCATCTAGTGAGATGATCACGTGGTTTTTATTCCTCAATTTGTTGATGTGGTGTAGCACATTGATTGATTTGCAGATGTTGAACCATCCCTGTGTCCCTGGTATGAATCCCACTTGATCATGATGTATGATCCTTTTGATGAATTGCTGAATTCAGGTTGCCAAAATTTTGTTGAGAATTTTTGCATCTATGTTCATCAGCAATATTTGCCTGTAGTTCTCCTTTTTCATGCTGTCCTTGTCAGGCTTTGATATCAGAGTGATGTTGGCCTCGTAGAATGTGTTGCTAAGTATTCCATCCTCCCTAATTTTTTGGAATAGCTTGAAAAGAATAGGTATTAAATCCTCTCTGAAAGTTTGGTAGAATTCCCCAGGAAAGCCATCTGGTGTTGGGGTTTTATTCATTGGGATGCTTTTGATTGCTGTTTCAATCTCTTTCCTTGTGATTGGTCTGTTCAAATTGTCTGCTTCTTCTCGACTAAGCTTTGGGAGATTGTAGGAATCCAAGCATTTATCCATTTCCTCTAGGTTATCCATTTTGTTGGCATATAGTTTTTTGTAGTATTCTCTTATAATCCGTTGTATTTCTGCGGAGTCTGTTGTTATTTCTCCTCTTTCATTACTGATTTTGTTTATTTGAGCTTCCCTCTTTTTTATTTGTAAGTCTGGCTTGGGGTTTATCAATTTTATTTTCTCAAAGAACCAGCTCTTTGTTTCATTGATCCTTTCTACTCCCTTTTTTGTTTCAATAACATTTATTTCTGCTCTGATTTTTTATTATTTCTCTCCTTCTGCTGACTTTGGGCTTTGTGTGTTCTTCTTTCTCTAATTCAGTTAGGTGTAGATTAAAATTGCTTACTTGGGATTTTTCTTGTTTGTTAAGGTGAACCTGATAAATGAAACCAAGAGCTGGTTCTTTGAAAAAATAAACAAAATTGGCAAACCCTTAGCTAGACTCACCAAGAAAAAAGAGAGAAGGCTCAAATAAATAAAATCAGAAGTGAAAGAGGAGAAATTATAACAGACACCTCAGAAATACAGAAGATAATAACAGAATACTATGAAAAGCTATATGCCAACAAATTGGACAATGTAGAAAAAATGGATAAATTCTTGGAAACATACAACCTTCCAAAACTGGATCAAGAAGAAGTAGAGAATTTGAATAGACCAATCACCAGCAAGGAGATCAAACAGCAATAAAAAACCTCCCCAAAAATAAAAGTTCAGCACCAGATGGCTTCCCTGGTGAATTCTACCAAACATTCACAGAAAACTTAATACCTATCCTTCTCAAACTGTCCCAAAAAATTGAAGAGAAGGGGAGACCTCCTCCTAACTCATTCTATGAAGCCTACATTATCCTGATACCAAAACCAGACAAGGACAACCAAAAAAAGAAAATTACAGGCCAATATTACTGATGAACATCGGTGTAAAAATCCTCAACAAAATACTAGCAAATTGAATACAACAATACATTAAAAAGACCATACATCATGATCAAGTGGTTTTCATTCCAGGGATTCAAGGATGGTTCAACATCTGCAAATCTATCACCATGATACACCACATTAACAAAATGAAGAATAAAAATCACATGATATTCTCAATAGATGCAGAGAAAGCATTTGACAAGATACAGCATCCATTTCTGATAAGGTGCACCTGTATTGCAATGAATTTCCCTCTTAATATGGTTTTTGCTGCATCCCATATAAGTTGCTATGGTATGTCTTCATTTTCATTTTTCTCCAGATAATTTTTGATTTCTCCTTTAATTTTTTCAATGATCCGTTTGTTGCTCAATAGCACGTTGTTTGGTCTCCACATCTTTGTCCTCTTCTCCACTTTTTTCTTGTATTTAATTTCTGGCTTCATAGCAGTGATCAGAAAAGACACTTGTTATTATTTCAATCTTCTTAAATTTATCAAGGATTGCCTTGTTTCCCAACATATGGTCTATCCTTGAGAATGTTCTGTGTGCACTTGAGAAGAATGTGTATTCTGCTGTTTTTGGATAGAGTGTTCTATATACGTCTATTGAGTCCAACTGGTCTAGCTTTTCATTTAATTCCACTTTTTCTTTGTTGATTTTCTGTCTGGATGACCTGTCCTTTGATGTGAGTGGCGTGTTGAGGTCCCCTACTATTATTGTGTTATTTTTGATATCTTCTTTTAGGTTTGTTAGTAGTTGCTTTATGAACTTTTGTGCTCTTGTTTTGGGTGCATAGATATTTACAAGTGTTAGCTCTTCTTGATGGAATGTTCCTTTCATCATTATATACTGCCCCCTTTGTCTTTCTTTACCTGTCTTATCTTGAAGTCTACTTTGTCTGATATAAGCATGGCAACACCTGCTTTCTTTTGTTTGCCATTAGCTTGGAGTATTGTCTCCCATCCCTTCACTCTGAGCCTGTGTTTGTCACTGGAGCTGAGATGTATTTCCTGGAGGCAACATATGGTTGGGTTTTGTTCTTTAATCCATCTCTCCACTCTGTGTCTTTTTATTGGAAAATTTCAATCCATTTACATTTAGGGTGATTATCAATGTATGAGGTCTTAATGCTGCCATTTAATCACTCGTTTTCCAGTTCTCCTGCATTTCCGTTCTTTCTCTTCCTCTGTGTTTCTGTCTACCAATTGAGTTATGTAGTTTTTTATGTTGGGTTTCTTTGTTTTCTCCTTATTTATTATTTGTGTCTCTGTTCTGCTTTTTTGTTTAGTGGTTACCATGAGGTTTGTATGCAAAATCTTGTGGATAAGAGTAGTCCATTTTCTGATGGCCT